GCCCCCTGCCTCCGAGGATGTCGGAGTTTCTCCTGGGAACAGGCTTCGAGCGCGTGATGGAGCAGCTTTCCCACGTGGAGTCCAGCAACGGCGGCGGGGGCCACGAGCGGAGCCAGGCGCCGGCGTCGAAAGCCGCCGTGGAGGGCCTCCCGGCGATTGAGATAAACGAGACGCACACGGCGATAGAATCTCACTGCGCGGTGTGCAAGGAGGCTTTTGAGGTTTGCACGATGGCAAAGGAAATGCCATGCAAGCACATTTACCACCCCGAGTGTATCTTACCGTGGCTGGCGATACGAAACTCGTGCCCCGTGTGTCGGCACGAGTTGCCGTGCGAGAGCGCACGTGCGAGGCTGGAGCGTGTGGAGGAGGAGGAGGAGGAGGAGAACTTGGGGTTGACGATCTGGCGGTTACCCGGGGGAGGGTTTGCGGTGGGGAGGTTCGGGAGAAGGGGTGGTGGTGAGGCAGATCTTGACGTTCCTCTTGTTTACACGGAGGTGGATGGTGGGTTTAACAACGTTGTTGGGGAACCTAGGAGGGTTTCGTGGTCGGTTTCCGAGTCTAGAGGGAGGACAAGAGGTGGTGCCTTTCGGAGGATGTTTGGTGGTTTGTTTCGTTGCTTGGGGGGTGGGGTTAGGGCTCATACTTCTTCTAGATCTGTCGATGCTATAGACATTTCCACAAGTGGGAGGAGTGCTATTATTACTCGATCTAATTCTAATAATAACGTCCTTCTTCCTCCTTCTTCTTCTTCTCCACCCTCGCGTAGGACTTGGTCTATGGAAGTCAACGGTGGAACCAGACTATGGTAATATAAATATCAAATCAGAAGGGTCAATCATGGAGTGTGATGGAGGATGCAATAATGCTATGGGAGAGTGAGGTTGCATGTTGTCATCTTAATCTTAATTAATTTAATGTATGGGAATCTTGTGAGAAGAAATTTACGACAGCATGGGTGGAGAAAGCTAGCCTCTGCGTTACTTTTGTGCATATTTTATTGGGGGCGGGATTAGTGGGACATGGATGTATGATGTGATAATCATCTGATCTGAAGGGCCTTCGTGTTGTTCTTGTATTTTCTTACTCATCGTTTGTAAAGTTTAATTAGTTTCACTTTTTGTCTTGCAATTCGTCTCCCATGTCATTTTTTTTAACTCTAGGAAACCCGTACGTACGTTCAAGTCTGCATGCTAAGCATAGGCATGCATGCCCGCCCTTTATTTGGTTGCTCATTGCAAGCTAGCTGACATTCGATTCTACCATAAATCTCTGCATCGTTTCAAATATCAAATATCCCAAATATTATATAATGCATTGAAAAAATATGGGATATTAATATGTTTGAAAAAAAATATTCAAAATTCATTGTCCACTAAAAATTGGACAGTGATTTTTGAACATTTTTTTTCAAACATTTATACAACACTTATTATTTGTCTCTATCTCTTACTTTGATCATATTCAGAAGTGCTTTATAAACACTCTGTGATAATAAAAAAAAAATCCCTCCAACACTCTTCTAAAATTATTTTCTTATTTTTTTAATAAATTAAAACACTAGAATATTTGTTTGAATCAAAATTTTGTATCCTGTAACAAGTGTCCCACGGGTGTCTTCAAATAATTAGGTGTCCAAATATCCGAACCCACACAAGTATCATACAATTTCTCACTTTTATCTCCCTCTTTAGGTGTTGACCGTCGGTCTAAATTTTTAAATGATGGATGCTTACTTAGTTATTCGTGCTATTCTTTAGCTAATAGAGTGGTGAACATGGTTGGTACCATGTGGATGTACAATATAATCATATTTTTCGAGAAGGCAACTAAGTTACAAATTGCTTAACAAAGCATATGACTCTGCTATTTCAGTAGGAATTCATATCTTTCGAAATCCTCCTCAGTAGTTGCAGTTATTTTTGTTAGCTGATGTTTCAGCTGTTCTTTCTTTATAGAGATTTTTAATCTGAGTATTAATTAGTCCGTTTGTGTAGAAAAAAAAATCTTTCTATTTAGATATCATATAATATTTAGGTTTCCAAAATTATTATTTTTTGGTTAAAAATATGTGACGATATTAGACAGGTATATATATATATATATATATATATATATATATATATATATATATATATTGTTTTATTTATGTGTAT